TTTCATTCGTGCAAGGAGGTTACATTGTTATGAAGCTGATGTTTCAGGCTATAACTTCATCAAAATGAAACAAATAACTGAACCCACACACACCAGTGAAACAGATAATTGAATGTCATGCACACCAATCAAGCTTATAACAGAACTGCACTGTATAAACATATTCCATCACTATCTATTCTCATGTTACATAGTTCACATTTGTTCAATAAAAATTACAGTGAATAATATATGTATGATTTTTAGTACATATTTCATTTTCAAGTACATACAGTGATACAAATTAATGTTTTTTCATGGACAGACATTCATGTAAAATAATTCTGATCACATAAGGCATACTAATATAATGTCATTTGTGACAATGATCACCTTGTTGCAAATACATTTACACTTATGATACTTTGGGCAGAAAAATTCTGAAAATATATCAGCTTTTGAAATTTTTTATTTTCCCAACAGGTCTAAAAATAAACTTGGAAACACACCTACAAATATCTATAGATATAAAAGTCTAGCACTTTTAAGTATGTTTCTTAAAACTTCTCATTTTCACATACTTTCAAACTTATTAATCTGCCTATATGAAGTTCAAACATTTTCAATGTTTTTATTGCTCTGTACAAACCCTGTTTTATTCATATCTGAAAACAGATTATTTGACTAGCTACAACCAGGCACACATATACTGTAGACTTTCATATACAAATCTCAAAGGCAAACTTTAAGTTTTAAATCTTTAAAACAAATTTATAGATATAAGCTTTGATAAACACTTTGTATAATTTATGAATTCCAAGTAATAGTGTATTTGTTAATCACATGAAAATGTACTTTTGAAACATTCATATATATATATATATAGTTTGCATTTTAAAAGCAGAAAATAAAAATGTGCATATATATATCAAGAAATTTCCATTTCTTGCTTTAAAAACGTCAGCTTCAGTGCATTTGTGTTTATAGTAGTGCATGATTCAGAAAATCCAAAAACAAAACAAAAACATACGTTATCACAATAAGTTATGCTGCAATACAACATAGATGTTCCCATTTTATTTTATTATACATATATATATATCATGTCATGGACAGCAAATATACTGTATAGCCTAATATGATCAATTCACACAATCATGTGACTTTCCACTAGTTTATCAAACACAAAATTGAAAAATAGAGCAACATTTTTTCATTAATGAATCAACATTCTCACCATGGGTACCCTTTTCTGTGCTTGTCACAAAGTTTTTTAGTGAATTATATTCACAATTTAATTAAACTATTTTTTGTTTATGTTTTACCAGTTAGCATAGCATAAAACCATAGTTTCAAGTTCTTAATTTTATAAGGCAATATTTTAAAAAAATCCTGAATTCCCCTAGTCTGAGAAATGTGACATTTTCCCTCTAGGCATCACCTCTTCTCTAATTTATTCACCACCTCTCAATTAAGTACAAAATTTAATGTAAATTACTCACTATAATAACGTCATCACTCAGACAAAGAAGAATTTTTATAGCCTTCAATCTTGTTTGTTTACAGAGCCACCAAATAGTAAATCAGACCCCTCTTTCCACACCCATCTGCCACATCCTGTCTTTCAGGATTTGTTAATAGTTGTCTCTTACATTAAAATTTATATTACTTATAACCAATAGAAAGCCAAGGTTTTCATCTATCAAATCACATATTATATTACATTGTTTTCTGTACAAAGAATTATCTATTTTTTTTTTCAGTACAAGTTTCATTCCTATGGGAAACATATCAACTAGCTTGGATGAATTTGTAACAACTTTTGTCGCATAGTTAGAAAGCCAGAAAAATTGTGATAGCTATGGGACAATGTCTACTTTTTGCATATTATTATTCTATGTTCTTTGATGCATTATTTAATTAAATAAAAATTAAAGACCAAAGATTCTCTTCTCCTCTTTAACAATACTCTAAATGAACAAATAGATGGCATTCCCATAGACTCCCCATTGGGTCCTATGCTTTTTTCTGTCACCACGAATAGAACTAGATTGACAACTGTCCGTTAAGCTCTACAGAAGGTATGTTGATGATACTTTCCTTATTTTCCACCATATTGATCATATCCAATGCTTTCTTGACTAACTCAATTCACAACAACCCTCTATACACTTCACTCATGAAATTGAGACTAATATCTCTATTCCCTTTCTGGACGTTCTTGCTACCCATGATGCTAATGGCTTTTCAACTTCTGTCTATTTTACAAACATATTTACTGGCCTTTTCACTCAGTTTGACAGTTTTATACCCTTCTCTTTCAAATGCAATCTTATTCTCTGTCTACTAAATAGAGCCTACAAAACTACCTCATCCTATTTAGCCCTTCACAAAGAAATTACTTTCACACAGAGCATTCTCTTTTGAAACAGATACCCTATGCATTTCTTGGAGAAAATAACTTTATCATTCCCAACTAATTTGTTTGTCAAACCACCTAAGATACCCACTGTACCCAAACTTCCCTTATAAACCTGCTTACCATACCAGAGCTTCCTTATCATGAAACAGTTAAAAAAGTTACATATCACTTACGATCCCCAAATTGACCTGATAGTTATTATGAAACCCAACTTTAGACTAAAACACTTTTTCCGTTACAAAGATTGTTTGTCAACTGCCCATTGTTCACATCTGGTCTAATTATACATGTGCGGAGAATGTAAGGCCCCCTATATCGGTGAAACCAAATGCCACCTTAAAGTTCAAGCATGTGAATCTATAAAAACTGAAAGAAAGGTTACAAACCCTCCCAACTCTGCTATCTATCAACACAATACAGAAACAGGAAATCCAATTTCTCTCTCAAACTTTAAAGTTCT